TTGGGCTTAGTCTAATTCACAATAGTCCAATGACATAATTTCCTACCATGGACTAACGTTGGCTAGATGAAGTAAAAATGGATTAAACAAAGTTTGATGAAAACCATGAAATACTTGGACAAAAGACACTCCCCTCTTCGTCCTTTTTTTTATATTTTTTTTCAACTTAATTCTCAATGCACTCACTTGTTTCCAACAAGTCACGTGCAATTACTTTGTGCTTGGCAACTGGACATCAAATAAATTTAATATAGTCCACATTTACCCCAAACTTAATTATTAGCTCACTCTCACAGTGCTCATTCATCACAACAGAGTCACTTTAACTTTTCACTCAACTTTTTCTTCTTATTTCACAGAACAAATTTTTCATTGGTTTTAAGAAGACAACACTAACACATGACCCAAAAAAATAATAATTAATAGGATTCAAGCTCACTACAACAAGTTGAAAGCTACTTAGAAATTTAAAACTAAACATATCAGCAATTACACACACTAAACTAACCTAAGCTACAATAGCCACAAGTACATTAACAAACTACTTAATTAAACTCTTTTTTTTTGTTTCATCCAGCATCCAATAAAGAAATGAAAGTCTTCTCTTTATCTATATAGTTGTTCCAGCGATGTTTTAACCATCGAATCTTGTTTGGAAATAACTTGATTCTTATCTTGAAATTCAGGACAATTTGTCCTGTATCCAACCAATTGATTATTTTCTTTTGAATCAAATCTTTCAAGAGTGGGTTGGCTGGTTTAAACTCTATATGATTGAAGTTGCATTCTCCAAAGTTGGTATTTTTACTATTTAAAAACACATGATCATTAATCAGATGATCCCAAACAGAAATAGCAGAACAGTTATTAGAATCCTCATCCATGACTTTCAAGACATTAAAAGTCATCTTTTTCTTATTAATTCCCATGGTTAATTCTCCTGTTTTAAATTCAATTATAGCATCCTCTTTAACTAAGAATGACATATCCAACATAATAGGCACATCCTTGTTAGCTTCAAAATCAACTATTATAAAATTTGCTGGAAAAGTAAACCTATAAATTTTTACTAATTTGTTCTCTATTTTTCCACCATGGTATGCAAGTGACCTATCTGCTAATGCACATGGAATTTTAAAAGAACCTGGATTTTCCAGCTTGGATGGGAAATTGTTGGAGAGATAGTGCTGTTGTTGCTGCTTTTGGAGACCTTGAGGAGATGGGAGCAATCTTGCCCTTGATAAAGGTTGAGGAGCCTCAATGTTGTGCATAGGCTTGTCTAATCCATTTGATTTCAATGCTGCCCTTAATGGTTCAGCAGTGCTTTCCTCTTCTTTTTCTTCTTCTTGATGTGAAGTTTGAATGGTTGATGGTTCGGTTGAAGGTGCATCTTCCTCTTGTTGCCCTTCCTTTTCCATTAATTTTCTCACAGTAGATGGCCTTATAACAGGCTCAAGTTGATCAACTTCTCTGTCATTCCTCAATTGGAGGGTCTTACTAGCTTCCATTCCTTCCACTCTTAGTATATGAGTGTCATTTGGTAGTGCTCCAAAGGTCTGCTACTAAGGGCAGAAACAAGCTGCCCCATTTGTGTCTCAAGGCTCTTCAAGATAGCTCCATGACTTTGAAGCATAACTTCATGATTTTGTAGCATCTGATTCATCCACTGCTCATTTGGAGGTTGAGCTTCTGCAGCAGGTTGTTCTAGCTGTTCAGCAAAAAGAGATTGCACAAAACAAGGTGAGTAAGGTTCATCCGGTTCAAATGACTGATGCCATCCATGATAAGGCTGCTGGTATTGGTAATTTTGGCCTTGATTTTGGGTAGAATTACATTCTTGGTTCTGCCATCCTTGCTGATCAAATTGGTTGTGGTTGATATAATTGTAGTTGAAGTCTCCCACATAAAGAACAGATGTTGGGTTGCTTGGGCATTTTTCAAAGGCATGAGCACCATAGCAAAGTGAGCATATAGGTGCTATAACAACTATTGGAGTAGGTGCTGGTTGCTTGGATTCTTCCATAACCTTGGCCAAATCTTTCACTGTGTTATGCAAAGCTACTAGTTGAGCTGCCAATGCCATTGTGATTCTCCTGTAGAGTGCTTAACAACCAATTTTTTATTTTTTATTTTTAGATTTGGCAGAATGCTAAGTGTATCAATCTGTTTTCACAGTAAAATATTATTGATCTGCAAAATCTTCAAAAAATGTAAGTTCAAGAAAAAATAAAAATGAAAATGAAAGAAAACAAATTCAAGAACTAAAAGACAGAATTTTAAAAAGAAACTAAATCAAACACCGTTCCCCGGCAACGACGCCATTTTGTTGGTAGTATTTTTCGAAAGAAAGAGTTATCGTTCTCAGGGAATGGATTGAAGTATTTTTCTTTTTCTTTTTCTTTTTCTGAATTAAAGATTCTGAAATTGGATCTTAATTGGTTTTTTTTCTTTTAGAACAAGAGAGTTTTGTAATCTGTATCAGTTATCAAAATGTAATCTAGAAGTAAGAAAGTGATTTATGAATATTAAAAGATTTCTGGGTATATCTAAAATCATGGATGACAAAAATATTTGCATTCCTGCAAATTTCGTACAGTGCTACAGCGAGTTTATCTCAGTTTCTGAGGTTCTACGGCAAGTTTAATTGAAACTTTCCAGAATCAACATTAAGGCTCAAGAAGATCTTTTCCCAAAGCTTCTTGAATCTTTACAGAAAATTATATTAGAAATCACCTTTGATTATCCCTAATCCAAAAGGGTTCATTTGACACTTAACAAAAATCAATTTCCCAATTTCTTTTTGTTGAAAAACTCAAGTTCCATTCCCATGGATTTCTTGAGTTGAAAAGTGGAAGAATCAAACGAATGAGAATAAGAAAACAGTAACAAAGAACATCAAAAATTCATCCAATCATTATTAACATACCCAGAAAATAAAGAAATTAGAAGCCTATATTCAGAAACAAAAATCAAAGATTAAAGAGAAACAGAAATCATGCATTAAAAGATAAAATCAGAAAAATTGTTCAACATAATACCGATCCTAAACTAGAGCAGGATCTTTCTCCACTTGCAAGCACCTCCTTCGATCCTTGCTTCCAGCTTTGTCAGAGCTTGAGATTGATGAGATCTTGAAGATTTCAAGGAGTGAAGAATACACACAGAGTCAAAGAAAAGAAAGAAAAAAAGAACAGTAAAACGTAAAATATGAAAAACTCTAAATCTCTAATCTTCAAAAAAACTAAATCTGAAACTGTGTATCTTTTTTACAACCCACAAAAGGAACTAAAAACTAAAAATTCTACACGCTAAGAGCCGTCTATCTCCTTGTCATCCAATGGTTAAAATGTGTTCACTTCATAAAGCTGATCCACGTGCCTTTTCAAAGAAAGATACCTAAAAAGTATGAATAATTACAATTATTAGCAAAAATAAATTAACTTGGGCTTGGTTATTTCCTTTTTGAATTGGGTCATATCTCACATTCTTTTAGCCCAATTTCCTGTAATTGTCAACCCAAAAATATTTAAAAAAAATATAAAATAATACAATAATTATATAAATAATTTAGTGCTAACAAGGGACTTTAGAACATGGGTTTCATTAACAACACTTTATAATCCCAGCACAGCATGCCACTTCATATTTTTCAGTTACCCTTGCGTGAATGAAATTTTGGTAGCAGAACGAATCAATTTTCACTTGTATTGGTTATTTCTAGAGGAACAGAAGGCTTGAAGAGACACCTCAAGCATCAACGAAGAAAGCAAAATCAAATTTTAAAAACTATTTAAGAGAATCAATTTCTTTTATTACTTTTCTTCCCATAAGAAAAATTAAAACTGGTTTATGAACTTTAAATAGGTGCTTCAATTCTTCAACGGTAAGCTACTCCTTAACAGTTATAGTTAAAGTCAATTATAGCTCTTTGTCGGGCATATTTTGAACGGCTCTTTTAGCCTTGCATAACTTTGATAGCTTGAAAGAGGTAATTTCCTGAATCCCATATAAGTAAAAGCCAAGTCTTTGTAATGTATCAAAATTAATATAATTGGACGTAGAGCAGGTCCAATGTGTAGTAACAACTTATTTTGGTAAATAGAATTTTTTTTTTAAAAAAACTTTTAGAAAATTGTCCAAATTTTTTTTTTTTAACTTAAAGTAAGCTAATCTAAATACATACTCTTAATTACAAAAAAAATTAAAAAAATACATACTCTTAAAAAGACAAAAAAAAATCCAAATTTTATTCATCTTAAATTTGCTGGTCAGAATGTTAGTTTAAAAATGTAAAAGCCTTACTTTAATAATTAAAAATTCCTTGTCAAGAATGGACATCTCTTCTACAAATGACCAATATAGATATTAAAGAATATAAAATTTTGCTATTTTAAATGAAAGAACGACATAACTAATATTTTTTTATTTAAAATTTAAATTAAAAAAATTACCTACTTTCTTTCTCCATGATTTTTATTATTTGTGTTTTTCTCTTACTTAAAATGACACAACTCTATATGCTTTAAAAGAACAATCATTAGACTCATATATATATATATATATATGTTAATTAAGTTGATTGATTATATTTGTTCTTATTTTATTTTATTTTTATCATTTTGTCTGTCTTTTAAATTATGTACTAATTTATTATTTTTTAAGTAATATACCAATATATTCTTATTTCATCAAAATTTGACTAAATCTTAACTATTAGTAAGTCATTTACCATCAAATTTTTGGTCAAACGAGAATAAATAGATATATAATTTAATAAATGAATAAATTGATATATGATTTAAAAAGGAAAATAATTAATAAGGTAAATTTTTTGTATTTGAGAATCTAGCATGCCTTAGTCTTAAATTTTTCGTTGAAGAAGTTGAAGTTTATCATTAAAGTAAAAAATAGGGAAGGGACCTACATGACGTTTACACGCACTCCTATTTTGCTCTGAAAGCGACGCTCTCATACCCACTAAAGTACAGAGAGTGGACTCCATCAACAACAAGTAGAAAAGAAGAAGAGAGAGAGAGAGAGAGAGAGAGAGAGAGTGGCATACCCTAATCTCGAGGAGATCTGATCGGCTATGGGTTCCTCTAAGGAGCGCGAGAACTTCGTCTACGTCGCCAAGCTCGCCGAGCAGGCCGAGCGATATGAAGGTTGTTACTCCCTTCTTTCACTCACTACTTCATGTCAATGGATTACAAATGCTTCATTTTCTGATACCCTTTTGATTAAAGTTTTGTGCTTTTCTTCCATTTTAGTCTCATCACTCATTAATGTCACTCTCTCAGCCTTTTCTTTCTCTCAGCGTTGTTGTCTAATGGTTTAACTAGTGCAAAGAGGGATGAATTAGTTCTTTAGGGAAGAAAAAAAAAATTGAAAACTGTTTTTGATAGTTATTCTCATTAGACCACACGTGACTGGGATTTTTTATTTTCTTCCTTCTTGTTCTCTTCTTATTTTCTGGGAAGTCTTTTTTTTTTTTTTTTTTGGGGGTGGTGCGGAATTTCTACATAAACTGTTTTTTAATGATTTAAAATATAATGAGGGAATTTCATGTTCTGAAAAGTTAGTAGATTTAGTTATTGTCACTGTCATGAAGTGTGTGGAAATTATGTTTCTAAGCTACTAGAAGTTTACATATTAATGGGAACCCAGAGATTTGAGGTCTCTGAAATTCTAGATCCCACAATCAGAGAGCTTAAGGTTGAGTAAAACTGGGAGCCCCAGCTATTAACATTCATAATGTTTAAGCACCATGTAGCGTGAATAAAAGGCATACTTACTGCATGTTAAGACTTAAAAGTATATTCTTATTCTTCCTATGATCTTCTCAAATGGAAGAGGGTCTGGTTTGTGTGTGTGTGTAATTTTTTTTTTAACTTGGGATTTTTGGTTGGTGGGCTTGATTAAAAAAAAAAGTGTGAAGCTTGATTGACGATGTTTAATTCTTGCTCCTATTTGTAACAGAGATGGTGGATGCAATGAAGAAAGTTGCAAATCTAGATGTTGAACTGACCATTGAAGAGCGAAATTTGCTTTCTGTTGGTTATAAGAATGTGATCGGTGCTCGCCGAGCATCATGGAGGATCCTGTCTTCCATAGAGCAAAAGGAAGAAGCAAAAGGAAATGATGTAAATGTAAAACGAATTAGGGAGTATAGACAAAAGGTTGAAGCAGAGCTTTCAGACATCTGTATTGATGTTATGAGAGTGATTGATGAACATCTTATACCTTCAGCTGCAGCGGGAGAATCAACTGTGTTTTTTTATAAGATGTGAGCATTTATGTCTTATTCTCCACTACAGATTTTGGTGTCCTTTTTTGTTTTGAAGGTAGGGATTTCAACTATTCTGATTTCAGGAAAGGGGATTACTATCGCTATCTTGCGGAATTTAAGCCAGGAAACGAGAAGAAGGAGGCTGCTGATCAGTCAATGAAAGCATATGAGGTGCAATTTATATTCTCTTTTTTCTTGTTTTTGGCACTGTCTGATATATGGTCAGTGCCTGTAGTGATTGATTGGAGAGGATTCTTTAGCTTTTCATGTATGGTTTTGATATGCACAGAATAGGCTTAGGGTTTGTTCTGTTTGGTCTTGTATTGATTTTTTCTCCCTTCATAAAACTTGTATATTTTTGACAGTTAGTGTCTTGCCTAAGAAAAACTATATGATATGTACTAAGAAAGTTATAGACTTCTATTAATTGCACAATCCAATATTAAGTGTAGGTTCCTTCATCCTAATTATCTGTGTTATGTAAACTATTATTATTATTGTTGTTGTATGATGTTCTTTTAGTGTCTTCTATGGTTTTTGGGCATAAATCTTTGACTCTTCTAAAATTCAATAATGTTAAGCCGAAAAAGAAAGGTATTTATAACATGCTGACCACTAGCAGGTGATGTGAAATTTTCTTTATTTCGAAGACATATTAAATTTGCAATCAAACCATTGGTAGTTTAATTGTTTTGATTTTCCTCCCTTTCTTGCTATTATAGTCGCTTTAGTTCTTTGAGCTGAATTTATTACTGGCCCTGGAGAAATTTGTTTCATTTTCTGTCCATTTTATGCTCTACATATATTGCTTTTCCACCACTATTCATATGTAACTGGTATTGACAAGATCGAGTTTGTTTTGCTTGGAAAGAAACTTGTAATTGTTACTTCCCTAATTCCTATCAGTGTTTTTTTTTTTTTTTTTTTAAATAAAAAGATTTAGTTTCTGCCGTGCTATTGTATGTTTAATTTGTTTTCTTCTGGCTCATTGAACATTGAACAATGTACTATCTGGAACTGTTGTTCAATGGAGTTTCCTCTTCAAAATGCTTTATCATATGCCTCCCATCTATCTCCTACAAATACTAGTTTGTTTTGTTTCATTTCATTGCAGTCTGCTACCACGGCAGCAGAGGGTGGTTTAGCTCCTACCCATCCCATCCGATTGGGTCTGGCTTTAAATTACTCAGTTTTCTATTATGAGATCATGAATTCACCAGAGAGGTTTGTGGACTTGATCTCTATCCTGAATCACATAGATTAATGCTTTTGTGTTTAATGTGGGAAATTGTACTTTTTTCCTTCCAGGGCCTGTCATCTTGCAAAGCAAGCTTTTGATGAAGCTATTTCAGAGCTTGACACCTTAAACGAGGAGTCATACAAAGATAGCACCTTGATCATGCAACTTCTCAGGGACAACCTTACTTTGTGGACTTCTGACATCCCAGAAGAGGGAGGTAGTTATTGCTAGAATACTTATACTTCAGTTTGATTTATTGTTTTCTAATTATTTTTTTCTTTCCTATTTATTATTTGAGTACCATAGCTGCTACTCGCTATCTTTTGCTAAATAATGTCTTAAGAGTTACTTGAAAGTTGAAAGTGCTTTGTATGTATGTAGGTATCTCTCGTCTGAAATTAGGCTAATGTTCTTGTGGGGATTGGTAATAATGAATCTTCATTGTTGTATTTATGAAAGTAATGGGAGGAATTCTCTTGCTTGCGGTATTTTAAATAAGTCAATGTCATCCTTCTCGGTGTCATGGAGTACGGTATTTTGCTTTGCCTAGAAGGGAATTCATTTCTTTCCTTTTATGATTGCGTTAATCAACTACTAGATCATTAGCTAATTTTGTAAAGTCACTAATTTTGTTTTTGGTATTTATGTCATTTTTGTGCGTTAGTATGTATTTATCTATCTATCTCTTTTCATGAATGCAGTCTGTGGAGGTTACTGTTATTGGGGGGGACTGATAGTAATGATTATTCATTGTTGTATTTGTGAAATTAATATTTTAAATAAGTCAATGTTATCCTTCTTGGCGTAATAAGTTATTTTTCTTTGCATAGAATGGAATTCATTTATAATGACTTGCGTGCATCAACTATTACACCATTTGCTAGTATTGTACAGTAACTATTTTTTTTGGGGGGTAAGATTTATGTCCTTTTTAGTGCTTTGTCTACAACTCTAATGTTACTGCATTTTTCTCTGCCTTCTGTTACAGAAGATTCCCAGAAGGTGAATGGCACTGTCAAGGTTGGCGGTCATGAGGATGCCGAGGTGAGTAATTCTTTCATACATGGTTGCTATCAATATTATTATGATTTATATATGGCTGCTTTAATTTATTCACCTCATTGCTTTTCTTTTAGTGATACTGATGGCTAGTGGCGCCATGGGATTGAAGCATGTGTTTGGGTATGAAACATGAGAGCTGATTACTCATCTTTGTATTAGCTAGATATAGGTTTCCATTGTTTTTGTTTCTTGTTGATTGGCCACACTTCCCATTAGGGTAAAAAGAAACTCCATTTCTGCCATATTATGGTCTGTTTTTTGGTGTGGTGTCTGGAAATGGCCTATTTCATCCCTAAGCCTTACCTCCTGTCCGGGGAGGATTGTGTAAGGAGTATTGTTTCAGTGTATTTCTTGTTCCAATGCTTCAACTTCATATGGAGACGTTGCTATATTGGAGATTGATTATTGGATAATACTTATATAGTATTTTGACTTCCAACCCTTATTATGTTGCCACAAAATGAGAAAGGTAGCAATTCGGTCAGAATATCACATGTCAAACAAATATGAAAAATTCTATTCAGCTTGAGAGTATATATTCTGGAACTCCAGGAACCTAAAATACTGCTATGAAGTATCATATCCACTTTCTTATCTGTCACATAACATGTTCATAGTCCAAGTCCAACCATAGTTAAATGGGATAACATATAGAAAACACTTGCATTTCATTACACTATAAACGGGTAAAAAAGAGTGGAAAAATAAAAGAAAGAAGGAAGCCAAAGTAAGTCATTCAGTTCAGCAAGAAGCGAGCGAAACAGAATCCACAGTTGAGGCGGCACAGTCAAGAGCATGAACATTGCTCCTCCTACGCTTTGGCACCATTTTCGTGGCTTGCAGGCTGCTCTTGAAAGCTTCAGGGATGAGGCCACAGATTTCTTCAATCCTTTTGGTTTTCTGAACCTTGCTTTGCGATTGAGAATGGTTCATGATCCGAAGGTTCTGATTGGAGGAAACAGGGAACAAGCTCTGGTTATCACAGGAGCATAGTTTCTGAATGGAGGTGACACAACACTCTTGCCAGTTCAGCTCGTTGAGATCTGCAACCGCGTCCTCCACTGTCAGCACTGCAAATGCCGAAATGCTCTCTCCGAGTGTTGACCGCGGCAGATCCATCAGATCGAGCAAGTCCACAGCATCAACCAACACCTTCTGCGAATGAAATCCAGATAGGCTTCGCAATGTTCTTAAGATGAAACTATTCAACAATACTATACTTGTTCTTTGAACGAACACAATTTCCGATTTCGATCAATTCACTGAGCTAAAGAAACAGAAAATTATCCTAGCCTTAGTTTTGGACATTATTTTCTTTTCAACCAAACAGAGATTCTTCACTATCTACTATAGATTGAATCCTACTAATTCTCCTACTAACTAGCAATCTGTATCTTCTATATTTACTCACGAGAGTTGAATTTAAAAAAAAAAAAATCAAAAGTAAAAAACAGAGAGAATAGGTAACGTTTTTTCGCCTGACATTTTCTCGGCATCCAAACAGGAGAGAGAGAGAGAATAGAACCTTCGGAGCATGGTGGATTTTCTTGAAGCCGTGAATGCGGATTACCTGCAGTGAGAACAAGGAAAAGAAAACGTGGAGTGTTTAGAGAGAAAGAGGAGAAAAATTTTGAAAATGAAAAAAATGAAAAATGGAAAGTAATGTTTGTGTATGAAGGAAACCTGATTGAGTTGATTCATGTTCAGATGAAAGGTTTGGCGAGAGTGAAGGAGGTGGATGTAGTCTTCGAGGCACAACTTGTCGTTCTTGACCGTTCGTTTCTTCGCGTGCGATTCCATCGTCATCAACGTTGATGATTCTTCCGCCATTGGCATATAAAAGAAAAGAAAAAAGCGACGCGCCAACTTTTATACCACTTCACACGCGTGTTTCATGAGTGAAAGTTTCGTTACTAGTTTGTTATTTAACGAATTCGTTGATCAGTAGGCGCTAGCTGCATTAGTTAAATACTTAAATGACTTACATGCACTTGCACAGAGAACAATAGAGGCTATAATAAAATTGTTGTTAGATGATAACAGTGATGGTAAAATATCTTAATCCTCCATAATGTGGGCACGGGTGGGATTGGAAAAACGTTAGGCCAATTGGTGTATAATGGTGATACTTTGAAGTTATTAAAATTTGATTTTACAGCATGGTTTTAGAGTTTGATATTCAGAAGGTTACAAAGAATATGATAGATTTTGATATTTTAAGGAATTTTTTTTTTTTTTTGGTAGTTAGAAGGATTTAAATGTACTTAAATGTGATATGAAGGATTTTAATTACAAGGAAGCCTGAATGCCACCTTTGGCTAAAGAAAAAACAATTGTGTGTCTCAGTCAGAGGCCAGCCACTGTTGTTGCTATAAGAACTGTAAATAAGTTCTATATCAATTTTTTTTTTTTTTAATATGGTTCTATAACAATTTAAATTTACATAATGAGATTTTTTAAAGTGTAAATAAGTCAGGTCAAGTTTTGGCCTATTTATATCTTAATTATATTATTTTGAATTGGATCTACCGAATATTCACTGGGCCTACTTTGCAAAAACATAGATCAATTAATTACAAGACCATTACCGAATATAACGAATAAATAACTAAAACTAAAAGTACATACATTACTCATTTTACACAAATGAAAAGGATATTTGAAGGAGAATAATTACTTACTATATAAAGGACCGTACGTTTATTCTACAGTAGAAAATTATTACCACAGATATATGGAATTGGAAGTGCCAATTTTCCTTTTGCGTTGCCAAATTGCATGATGTGCGTCCCTTTGATTTTATACATAAGTTAATTGTAGTTTCAAACCTTTGTTTTTATAATTACAAACTTTTCCAGTACGCACACGGGGTCTACGTTTGAACAACAAGGGTCTTATTCAGAAATTTCTCACAGCTACGCAGCGGAGAAAGGTGTTTTATGGTTTGAGTTGAAAACTACAACATTAATATACAATTCAACATTAATTTTCCTATAAATTCTTCAAATAATCTTGAGTACAAGCACAACACATCTTTCTCACATTTCACTAAACATTGTTAATTGCAATCATTGTCACACAACACTGGCTACCATGGTTGCAAAAATTCAATTGTGTCATATTTCATTGGCATTGCTTTTCTGCTTGGGATTTTGGGCTTTTCAGGTCACATCTCGAACTCTCCAAGATGCCACCATGTATGAGAGGCATGAGCAATGGATGGCTCGCTATGGCAAACTCTATGATGACCTCCAAGAAAGGGAAAAGCGTTTCATGATATTTCAGGAAAATGTCAATCACATTGAAGCTTTCAACAGTGCTGGCAATAAACCTTACGAGCTTGGCATTAATCAATTTGCTGACCTCACCAATGAGGAGTTCATAGCACCCAGAAATAGATTCAAGGGACATATGTGCTCCTCAATCACAAGGACAACCACTTTTAAGTACCAAAATGTGACTGCTGTACCATCCACTGTTGATTGGAGACAGAAAGGAGCAGTGACACCCATCAAGGATCAAGGTCAATGTGGTAAGTGTCTCATATTTCATTGAATTCCACAAGTCAAGCCAAGATTGAATTGTCATCTAGCTAACACTAGTTCTAATTCACCTTGTAGGATGTTGTTGGGCATTTTCTGCTGTTGCAGCAACGGAAGGTATCAATATGCTGAGTAATGGAAAATTGATATCTTTATCAGAACAAGAACTTGTTGATTGTGACACAAAGGGTGTTGACCAAGGTTGTGAGGGTGGTCTTATGGATGATGCTTTTAAATTCATCATGCAAAATCATGGACTTAACACTGAAGCTAACTACCCTTATCAGGGTGTGGATGGAACATGCAATGCAAATGAAGAAGCCAAGCATGTTGCTACCATTACTGGGTATGAGGATGTCCCTGCAAACAATGAAATGGCTCTGCAAAAAGCTGTGGCCAATCAACCAATTTCTGTTGCCATAGATGCCAGTGGTTCTGACTTCCAATTTTATAAAAGTGGTGTCTTCACAGGTTCATGTGGAACTGAGTTGGATCATGGTGTCACTGCTGTGGGTTATGGTGTTAGTAGTGATGGGACTAAGTATTGGTTGGTTAAGAACTCATGGGGAACACAATGGGGTGAAGAAGGGTACATTAGGATGCAAAGGGGTGTGGATGCTGCTGAAGGACTCTGTGGCATAGCAATGCAAGCGTCTTACCCAACTGCATAATTATATAAAATTCCTAAACTGGATGCTTTTCTACATATATCTTCTATGTCTCAATTCCTGTTATCATTTGTATATAACAATGCATACTCTATATGAATCTTTGTACTTATCAATTACTATGCAATGAAAAATTAGTCATGGAAGGTGCATCTATTGTTTTCTTAAGTGACTATGTAAAAGGATGACTACCGTGTGCTGACTCTAATGGGTCTTAGCACCTCTCTTTTGCAGAGAAAACTCGCTCATAGGCCCCAGCAGCATGTAAAAACAAAAGGGCAAAGAAAGGACTGTTTGGATTGACTTATAAAAAGGATTTTTCAAGCCTCGTTTGTTTTGAATTATTATTATTTTTTTATAAAAAGAGAGAGAGAGAGTTATTTTGTATTTAATTACAACACATGAGAAAGATAAGGATAAGGGTTATATTTACAAACTAAATTGTTTACAAATTCTTACAACCAAATTTTAATCATTAATTTTCGTCAATTTAATAATTATAATTTATTGGAAATTAATAATTAATTAATAAATGTGAACCGATAAATTATAATTGTTAGATTGACAGAAATCAATGATTGAAATTTAATTGTAAAATTTTATAAATAATTTAATTAGTAAATATAACTCTTCCTCGTCAGAAATACTTTTAAGAAATAATATGTTTGCTCTTTTAGAAGGAAAGAAAATTGCGTTTAAAAAAACAATATTTTGGGTTTTTTCAAAATTAGAATCCAAAAAAATATTTTTGAAAAAAAAATATAGCATTTTGGATAAAAAATAAAATAAAATAAAATAATTCAAACAGTCCTAAATGGTCTTAACACAGGATTGCAAGGCAGAGCTTGAAATCTGTGAAACGGAAGCATCGTGTAGGAATGTACTTAACGATCCACAAGCGCTAGCCTAGTGGTGTGGGTGTGTGTAATAGGGAGTGTGTTTAGTGTGTCTAGCTGTGTTCCATTCCATGTAAACTTGAAAAAAAAAAAAAAAAAATGTACTTAACGAGATTCATATTTTTGACATTTCAACTTATGCTTTGTCAGGGGAACAAATGAATTATTTGAGCAAAATTCTAAAAGTAATCACAACAGCATCACGACCCAAAACTCCGCAAACATTAATGTTCGAATAACTTTTTTTTTTTTTTTTTTGTAGAATACAGCGACCAGTGATAAAAAAGAACAACTTGATCTATTAGCCCATTCATCCACGTACTTATATGATCACCGGAAACACTATTAATTATATAACTGACTAAAAGGGGATAGAAATGAAAATTACATGATGTGAAACTTTCTCATACACTAGATTATTTATACACAATACTTTCAATATTTCCCCTCAAGCTGGAAGATATAAGTCAAAAGCTTTAAGCTTGTTACATATATAATCTATTCGATGACTCCTCAATGACTTAGTAAAGACATATGTTAGTTGATCATTTAAGTTGACAAACTATATAATGATCTCCCATGATAAGACTTTATCCCGGATGAAGTGATAATCTATCTTCATATGCTTCTTTCTCTCATGAAATACTAGATTGGAGGCAATATGCTAGGCAACTTGATTATCAGAAATTAAAGTTGTTGCCTCAGTGTGACTAAACTTCAGTTCCTTGACTAGTTGTTTTAGCCAGGTAAGTTCCCAAGGGGCTATGGCCAAGGAGCGACACTCTGGTTCAACACTTAATCTGGCAACCACGCTCTGTTTCTTACTTTTTTAGGAGACTAAATTATCTCCAGTAAACACACAGTATCCAAAGGTGGATATTCTCCTATCAGTAGGACAACCTGCCCAATCAGCATCAAAGTATCCCATGACTTTAGTATGACCTTTGTCACCTTAAAAAGACTTTTCCCAAGAGCTGACGTGATGTACTTGAGAATATGAATTGTTGCATTTTAGCGATCTTCGCATTAAGAAATTGACTCACTACACTAATTGCGAATGACATGTCTGGTCTAGTGACAATGAGTTTGTTCAGTTTCCCATCTAATCTTCTATATCTTTCTGGATCAGAGAATGGCTCTTCCTAATTTGGTGGAAACTTGATATTTGGATTCATAGGAATGTTAACTAGCTTTGCATTCAACAAAGTTGTTTCCTCAAGAATATCCATAGCATACTTCCTCTGATATGTCACAATGCCATCATTAGACTAGGCTACCTCTATCCCTGAGAAATATTGAAGTTTACCATGATCCTTTGTCTAAAAGTGATGGCTGAGGTGGTGTTTTACTTGAGTAATACCATGATGATCATTACCTATAATGACAATATCATCAATATACACCACCTAGTAAATGGATCCTAAAATTGAGTGGCGATAGAACACTGGGTGGTCAGCTTCACTCTGAGTCAAACAAAATTGTTTAATAATAGTTTTAAATCTCCCAAACTAAGCACATGGAGATTGTTTGAGACCATATAAAGATTTGCAGAGGCTACAAACTAATCTAGACTCTCCTTGAGCAACAATCCTTAGAGGTTGCTCTATATAGACTTTTTTCGCAAGATCTTTATGTGGGAAAGCATTCTTAATATCCAACTGATAGAGAGGTCAGTGACGAATAACAAC